AAGCTCTCCCAGTTCAGCTCTGAGTGAGCTGAAAATAAACCCCACAATGTTGATGGTTTGTACCCTTAGGTATAAGCATGCCCTTCATAATCCTTACCAGGGCCTGCCTACTTACAATGGCATTTTGGGTGAAAACCTATGATCTGATCATTGCTACTACTACTGATCCATGACACCCATTTGTAGTTCTTGTCCAAGTGCCAGCCAGTTCATTTAGTGTTTTTCAGTTGGCAGCTGCTGACTTCCATGCACTGGCTGCAAGGTTAGTTCAGATGCACTGCAGCAGTTCATATTGATGTCTACTACAAAATTCAAATTAAAAGCATCAAAGCCACTTGGCTAAAGACTGAAGAAGAGAATCAGATGCATAGCTCCAGGATATTGTTAGAAAAATAACATAGTAGATGGGCAGAGGCTAGCTCAGCAGCTAATTCTCAATCTGCTTATTATATTTTTATTGTTAGTTATGGAGGCTTGTTCTGTGCAGTAGGGGAAAAAAAGCACACATTCAGAACAGGGCTTAAGAGTTTAAGCTGAAACGCCTAACTCAAAGTTTAGAAACAATGTTCCTGAAGACAGGAACACCCCCAATTCTTTATTTTATGAAAGAATGATAATGCATTTGAACCATTAATCTGTATAAAAGTAGATTAATAGCTTGAATGCAGAGCAGATCAATAGAGTGGGATATTAAGACAGGTTAATAGCCTAGAAAAATGAGACAAATTAAGTTTAGACAGAAAATTAGGCATAATGTTCTTCATTGTACATTGTAGCTTTCAAATACAGAGTGAGTTGTGTTTTGTGCTGACATAAATCCAGCAGTCAGAATTAGAAAGAGCTGAGAGAAGACTCAAATGTTCAGGAAACATATATGGCTGCATAAGACATTCATTTTGTCCAACAGACAGAAGTATCAAGTTGTCTACTCCTTACTCTCTATCAGTGCAGAGCAGTTCCTTTGAGTATTGTCTCACCAGTCCCAGCAGTTCTCTGGCAAAATTATTCTATGGGTTTGAGATATCTGAATCTCAGGAGGCTCCTTCCTCCTTTCAGTTGAATTTTGCTTTATACTTTGTCATATTACATCAGTTTATTTTTATATTAATTCTTTTCTGAAGGATTTAACAACTTAGGCTGTTAATTTGTGCTAGTATTTGTGGTCATTCTTGTTTCACTTAAATCTACCCTTCATTTGTATTTTTTTTTCTACTCTATCCACATAGACTTGTTTCTCCCATACAACTAATGACAATGTTAAGAGACTAGCATAACATTGGGCAAAAAGGTATTTAAAAAACACTTTCTATTAGTTTGATACAATGCCATATGCTCAATACTCCTCCTGTAGTATTTGAGCCAAATGTCCATTCCATGTTTTGGCATTCAACTCCAAACCAAATACAGGTCCATGAGTAGAATTATCAAACTGGTAACTAGGATCCCTTTTAGAGCATAAGTTCCTCTATAAACTACATAGTTCTAGCCAGTCAGTTTGTATTTATTTGTCAAGAATTAACAAATTTTTGACACTCACAAAACACTGTTTTCTAGAGGATAAGCAGAAACATTCCTTCTCTTACTGGAAAAAAAAAAGGTACAATTTCAGCACCTCCACAGATTTAAAAACATAATTTGGCAGTAAAAGAGTAAGTTGGTATGGATGCATACTAAATCAGCTGATCAGTATGTCTTACAATAAGGTTTTATATCACTTGCCATAATCATCGAAAAAACCTCATTGCTCAGATAACCAGGATAGCTTTTCCCAAAGACCAGCCTGGGCCACAGTGAATCCTAAGCACTCATCTTTGCCTTGCTGGTATATTAGATCTTCCCTACAGCCTTCCTCACTGTACACACACTGAATGAATCTCAGCAGTTGTCACCATCCTTCTCTGCACTTATGGTACTTCAGACTGAATTTCCTTTCAGTAACATGACCAACTCATAGAGGAGTTATCCATCAATTCATTAATAAGACTCTCTAAAAGAATATTTTCCTGAATAGCTATCACAACATGTCATACATATAGGGAATCAATAATTAGGGTTACTTCGAAGTCTCTTTTTCTTCTAAAGACTCCTTCACTCTACTTAAAATATTTTTAAATTTCGTATTTTTTTTTTTAGTTCAGCTACTTTCAGCTTTCTCCTCTCTCTCTTGTACTGGGGACCCCAGAGCTAGACACAGGACTCCAGGTGGGGTCTCACCAGAGGTGAGTAGAGGGGCAGCATCACCTCACTTAACCTGCTGGTCATACTTCTTTTGATGCAGCCCAGGATACAGTTGGCTTTCTGGGCTGCAAGCATGCATTGCCAGGCCACATTGAGCTTCTCATCAACCAATGCCCCCAAGACCTTTTCCTCAGGGCTGCTCTCAATCCATTCTCCACCCAGCCTGTATTTGTGCTTGGGATTGCGCCGGCCCACTTGCAGGACCTTGCACTTGGCCTTGTTGAACTTCATGCGGTTCGCATGGGCCCACCTCTCCAGCCTGTCAAGGTCCCTCTGGATGGCATCCCTTCCCTCCAGTACTTCAACCACACCACACAGCTTGGTGTCGTCAGCAAACCTGCTGAGGGTGCACTTGATCCTGCTGTCCATATTGCAAAGATGTTAAACAGCGCCTGTCCCAATACTGATCCCTGAGGAACACCACTCACTGTTCTCCACTTGAGACATTGAGCTGTTGACCACAACATTTGAGTGTGACCATCCAGCCAATTCCTTATCCACTGAGTGGTCCATCCATTGAATCCACGTCTCTCCAATTTAGAGACAAGGATGTCGTGCGGGACAGTGTGAAATGCCTTGCACAAGTCCATGTAGATGGCATTGGTTGCTCTTCCCTTACCCACCAATGCTGTAACCCCATTGTAGAAGGCCACCAAATTTCTCAGGCCCGAATTGCCATTAGTGTAGCTATGC